TCCAGCATACCGGTCTTCGACCCGTCACTATGACCGGTAACTTCAAAGCGCCAACATCCAGACAGTTGGGGATGGAGCGGAAGGCCTTTTCGTCTAACATGATATCAAAGCTCCACCCCCGTTCAGGCTATCGCAGGAAGCTCCCAGAATCTCGCCATACTGAGAGAAGAAAGCGGCCAGATGTTCCCTGATAACCTGAGGAGGGACCTCGTATACTGTTACCCTGGTCCTTCGTCGCCCTTCGTATTCGGTACGCAGAATCAACTCGTTGTTAATTAGTTCGCGGCTAGCCGCGGCGACGCAATCTTCTGGTGTGGGCAACAGTACGTCCCCATGAAAAACTTAGCACCCTTAACTATTCTAAGGGGCTTGAACCCGAAGGATTCTAGTGCTTTCAACACTGTGTTTTTCGTCGAGCGACAAATTTTGCGCGTACGCTTGTCCACGACGAAAACTGACACTATTCTTTTGTCAATTCTCTTTAATTCTTGGGGGTCTTCCAAAAGACCACCTTCAACAACAAGGTGGGCGTAACTCTTGGCACGCTCCAAGAACTCCACTAGATTGATTATGCATTTAGGAGGGGACTTCCAACAAGAGGGCGATTCCCCGGCCTCTGCATTCGTTTTTGAGTTGTCCGATTCTTTGTCTTTAATTTCGCTTTTATCAGCTTCCATATTTTTGGAGGCTTTCTTCAATGTCTCCACAATTTCCTCGTTTGTGGGAATACTTGGGAGGTCAGGATATTCATCCTTATTTTCTTTATCGGGGGGGTCCTTCTTTGGGTTAAACAAATGTTTTCTAATATTTTTTTTAAAAGAAGCATTTTTAAACTTCTTTTTAACAATTAAAAATGAAGGCACTTTTTTATCCTTCTTATCCATTTTTTTTTAAACAGCGAAGGGGAGGGGAAAGGGGGAGGGGTGGGAAATAAATTTATGGGCGAGAGGAAAAGAAATAAATTAACTAAACAAACTCAACAAAATAAATATGCACACCAAAAAACAATTACATTAAGGGAATAAACACGGTTCACTTAAACGTATACAAATATCGCCTAAAGGCGAAACAATAAAAGACAAACAATAAAAATAAAAACGTTAGACAATAAAAAAAAACAGAAAAACTTCGACAAAAGCCGAAGCTAAAATAAAATCAAAATGGCCGACGTCAACAAAAAATTACGAAACAATAACACAAAGCAAAAATCAAAAATGGCCGACGTCAATAAACAAAAAAATACGTAACGAAGACAGACGAAGCTAGACACAAAAAATAAAAATGGCCGACCCTAAGCGAGTCGAACCAATAAACAAAAGAAAATAAACAAATAGATTAAAACGATTACAAGCAAAAAACACGTAAAAATTAAAAGGATGAAAACAATTAAATAAATAAATTAATAAGAAATTACAGCAAAACACAGAATAACGAACAGGACGAAAATAAAGAAAATGACAATTAACACGGAAAACTAGAGAGAAAAAAAAAATTAAAAAGGGGTAGAAATGAGAAGAAAAAACTGCGGAAATTACAGGAGAAAAAACGAAATTCAAAAAGGCAAATTAGATTAAAAAGAAAAACGAGTAAAAATTAAAATCAAATAGGAAAACTTGAATAAACAGAATAAAGAGTAAAAAATAAAGGGGGAGGGTGAAAAAAAATGGAGAGTAAAAAAGGAAAAAATCAGAAAACTTTTACAATAAGGTCGTAAATAAAATAAACAAACTTTAAACAAAATGCAGTTCACAAGGGCAACAGGTAAAATCACACAAAAAAGGGTCGAGTTGTCCGCAAAAGTCAAAAAAATAACCAAAAACCTGCCAAGAACGGCGACGAGTGTGGGTGAACCAATTCGGACTGAAGTTCTTCGCACAATCCCTGCAATTTATTAAATGTTCAGTAATCGCTGACCCGGAAGTATTAACCAACTGGCTCTTACGAGCTTCCGGATTAAGAACTCGTAATGGGACATGCTGCCTGATCCTACAATCTAAACGTTGGGAAGTCCTTCCTATGTAGTTGCTACCGCAACCACATTTAAAAGAATATATCACGGAAGACACATGAAGGGGAGGAAGAGGATCCTTACGTATAGAGGGAAAGGCAGAACGAGTCGCAAAATGAATTCTTAGTTGAGCTGAGAAATAGCAGTGATGGACAGCAGACAAGACCCGCCTAGCCACAAGCTCACCACCGGGAACCAATAAATGGAAGCCGCAAGTAAATAGAACATTTCTGAACTAAGTATTGTTTTTCCTTTCGAAAATAAATAATTTTATCACGCATGACACTATCAAGAATATCACTAGGATATCCATTTTTTAATAGAGTGCAGTGGATAAAATCCAATTCTTCATCCAAATATTGTTCGCTGCAGATCATCAAGGCCCTATGAGTTAAGGTCTTTATGAGATTGATTTTGCGCTTTCTGGGACAAAATGAGTCCCAACGCGTATACAGACCAGAAAACGTTAGTTTGCGAAACACCGAAGTAAAAAAAATTGAGGAGGAGTCCGATGCACAAGGACATCAAGAAAAGAGACAAGAATTAGACTCCTTTTCGATGGTAAATTTCAAAGATGGATGAAGTTGTTTCATAACTGTGAGAAAAGAATCAGCTTCCACTTCATTATTAAAAAGACAATGTATAGTCCACATACCGACGGTACATAGACGGTGCATTGTCATAAGTGAGGAGGGACGACTCATAAACGCCGACAAAAATGTTGGCCAAGGCGGGACCCAAAGGGGAGCCCATAGCAACCCCATCAATCTGTCTGTACATAAAATTGTTAAAGCTAAACTCGACAGACATGGTAGCGAATTGCATAAGCTCAACAAACACATTTTCTGGGATATCCGGAGGTGACAAACTACTTCGATATAACATGTTACAACAAATATCAATAGTTTCCATTACTGGAACACAAGTAAACAGAGAGCATACGTCAAAGGAACACATAAATTTATTTTTAGGAGTATCACGAATAACCTGAGTAAACGAAAAATAATCTTTGATAGTATACGAGCTAAAATGTTCAACAACAGGTTCAAGAAGGTTTGAAAGAAAACTCGCAACCTTATGTTGAGACGAGACTGACATGGACAGGATGGGTCGAAGGGGTACATCATCCTTATAAATCTTAGGAAGTCAATACAGACGAGGACGAATAGACCCAACAGGTCTAATATCATCAGTGACTTCACGGGATATGAAACCACGTTTAGCCCAAGATAAGAGTTTCTTTTGAAATTTCTATTACTTGCAATTATATATATATAATTTGGCGAGTCTAGTCCGTTACCTTCACATTTGCGCAAACATCATTGAGAAAGGTATCAGTCCATCTCTTCTCTCTTAATATAATGTAAACTGTAACGCATACCTGACTCTTCATCTTTGGTTGAAAGAGCTTGTTATCTAGCATGATTGACAATCTTTTCAAGGCCCGCACGCTCAAACCCTCGGTCACGATGACTTGTGACTTCGCGCTAAAAAATCTATCGACGGTCCCCAAAAACGTCTACCCAATTTAACTCACAATGGTTTTCAGGTACTTTCCGGGTGCCGCACGCTGGAAAGTCTCCTTGCTGACAAATCGACCATTCTGAGATTCGAACCCGGGTCAGAAATCAAACATTCTAACCACTCAGCTTTTTTTTTCTCTCTGTCTCTCTGTCTCTCTCTCTGTCTCTCTCTGTGTGTGAGAGTAGTTTTCACAGTGGAGGCTTGTATTTCAATAAGTCGTCCTAAATTAGGTTCGACGTACAAAACGTTAGGAACTTGAAATAAGAATTAATGACGCAGCAATCTAGTTGTGATGGTTGATACTTCAATGTCCGATATCGACTGACTCGCTTAACTGGCGACCGCTGCTACTACTACTTATTATGTGTGGAAGAGTCTATTAATAATAGAATAGGTACGTTCAGGTATGACACTCTATCTATCTATATATATATATATATATATATATATATATATATATATATACACATACACGGCAGTACATTGATATATGTGACAATGATGTATTTCATTAAAATGGCTGACGTACTGTAGTTAGGGTTTATTTATTTTTCTTGTGTTGTTAGAATTTTCTTCTTTTCTGAACATAAATTATGTAGAATATATATTATTTCACCCCAAACAAGGTAGGAATTACACTAGTACTCGTGGGGGGTGGGGGCACAGGGAGTGCAAATGTGGGGAAACACAGAGTATAGGGAAGATTGAAGAAAGGACAAAAGATGAACGGGATCCAAGAAGATACAAGAAGAGTTCCATAGGGGGCAAGTATGAAAAAAGAAATTATAGGAGTAGAAGTGACGATTACATTTCACTATTTCAACCGTAAACGCATGGGACTTAGGTGTCCATCTAGTAGCACGCTTAAATTCATGTAGTCAAGGGAAAGATGCTCATCAGAGCAGTTGCCATGAAAATATTTGTAGAAAAGACAAAAGGAAGCTACATCAAGTCAGTGAGAAATTGACTGAAGTCGAAATGTCAAGTCTGGATCAAGTACAGATCCTTCTTTTGATTTTGTCAAGACCAAATGTGGCAAGAGTATTTAATGCATGGTAGATTTGTAAATGTACAAAAGAGACTGAAGAGAAAAATCTTCTGGCACGACACGAAGACCCAAGTTTCCTTGCAGTAGATGCAGCCATTGATTTGATGTAATCACTCCAGTTCATATCAGTTGAAAAGGTGAAGCCAAGAAGTTGTGTGGTTATTCTCCAGGGGTCTAGCGTCAGCCATGCTGATGGTAGACAAGAGTTTCTTTATGGTGGTTAAATCAAAGTAGTTTTGTTTTGGAGTTAAAATCTACAAGCCATTTAATTCCCCAGTTAACCACTGCTATATATATATATATATATATATATATATATATAAGAATTGACCCTCGTCATTGATTGAGACAAATTCCTTTTCTTTGGTCTTCTCGCTAGACATTCTTTCTTTGTTTCAGAGATTCAAACAGAATAACGTTATGGTACGTAGTAGATTCCCCTCAAATCATGACATCGTCTCTTTAAGAGAATGTAAGATGTAGAGTTGACCTGTGTAATGACGTCCTTGTAGCGGGTAGGAATACACACTTCACAGAATGTCAATGGTTGACCCCTACAAATGAACACCTGATTGACCCAGCTTCATCTAGAATGTGTGGATGTGGAAGAAGCCGTGTGACAGATGTATATCTAAACACTCACCCAGAGAGAAGAGTATCTCTTATATCCAAGCTAAAATGTAGTCCACATTTTGAGAAAGGCCCAAAGCTACACACCCACTGGTTAACGAAGTAGAAAGTTAAATATTATGTTATATTATGAGAGATTCGGCCTCGTGTTAGATTAGTAACGCACTGCGATATTACAATAGTTTATATGCTGAGTTCTTTTACTACCTATATCGTATACTAAAATCATTTTCTTTTATTCAGGCTGAACGATTTTATTAAAGCCAAACTCTGTTTTCGGTGACATTTGCAGGTTCCAAAGGAAGATGCAAGCGCAGTTCCAACGAGACGAGCACGAAACACAACAAAGAGACGTCATCCACAACAGCGTTCGGCGGCGATAATGAGAAAAATAACAAGAATAATTTCACCAGTGAGAACCGGTCAGTCCCGTTCTTTCGACGAACCATCAAATCGTCGACTATGGAGAACATCCCCTTCCAACAAGTCCAGCAGGAACGTTCACTGCAAAACAAAAAGCGTGTCGTTAAAATGCTGTTTGTTGTCGTATTGGAATTCTTCATATGCTGGACTCCACTCTTCACTGTCATCACCTGGGAAATTCTTGACATTCCAAGTTCCAGGTATTTATTCATATTTTCTCTCTATTATATATTTACGAGGTGTGATAATTTATTTTCCAGATTGGTCCTCTGAAAGTAAAGTTTGCTCTTCCGGTCAATATTGACCCCTGTTGCCTTCAAAGAACTCCACTTGTGGCGATGATGTCATTGCTGGAAACATACTTAGGATTGGTTCTGTGAAAGAAAAGTTTGCATTTCTAGGCGATATTGGCTTCTGTTGCCTTCAAATTTCTCCACTTTGTGAGGTGATGATATCATTGTTGAAAACGTTATTGGGATTGGTACTGTGAAATCAAAGTTGGTATTTCTGGGCGATCAAAGAACTCCTCTAAGTGAGGCAATGATGTCAATGCTGGAAACATTCTTGATATTGGTGCTGTGAAAGCAAAGTTTTCATCCTTAAATTCTGTTAGAATTTGTTCATGTTTAGTCTTTATCAGTCAGTCAATGAATGCCAAATATTATCACATAAAGAAAGAGGTGAGAAGAACAAATGCTACACTGGAAGAAATGAAAAAATTCCTAACTTGAGTAGCTCGCTAAATGAATGTCAAAGATTTCCTTATAAAGAAACGGCTCATGCATTAGAGATGAGAACTGATTTTGATTCGAACCTGGTGTCTGAGAGTGAAGAAAAGCGTAACTCTAGTAGCACTGGCTGCTCGATCAATGAATGACGAATTTTCCTTATAAGGAAATCGTTAATATTACCGTTACCATCATATAAGAGAAGAAAAAAATATTAGACGAAGAACGATAAAAACATTAGAGAAGAACAGATGCTACACTTTGATCCCAACGTGATGGCCAAGGAGAGAAGAAAAGCGTAACTCGAGTAACAGTGACTACTCGTTCAATGAATGTCTAATGTTTCCTTATAAGGAAACGGCTAATATTACTATTCAATGATAATGCTCGTCTTCACTCTATTATATATATTTACTAGCTGTGATAGTTTATTTTCCAGATTGGTCCTCTGAAATCAAAGTTTGCCTTCAAAGAATTCCACTTCTTGGGGCGATGATGTCATTGCTAGAAACATTCTTGGGATTGGTTCTGTGAAAGCAAAGTTTGCATTTCTGGGTGATATTGGCTGCTGTTCCCTTCAAAGAACTCCTCTTGGTGAGGCGATGATGTCATTGTTAGAAACATTCTTGGGATTGGTCCTGTCAAAGCAAAGTTTTCTTTCCTAAATTCTCTGTTAGAATTTGTTCATGTTTAGTCTTTATCAGTCGGTCAATGAATGCCAAATATTATCGCATAAAGAAATAGCTAATATTACCATTAAAGGTGAGAAGAGCAGATGCTAGGCTTTGATCCCAGCTCGATGGCCAAGAAATGAAAAAATTGAGTAGGTTGGTAAATGAATGTCAAAGGTTTCCTTATAAAGAAACAGCTAATACTGCTATTATCATTAGAGGTGAAGAGAACAGATTTTGATCCGATCCTGGTGGCAAAGAGCGAAAAAAAGCGTAACTCTAGTAGCACGGTCAATGAATGCTGAATTTTTCTTGTTAGGAAACTGCTAATATTACTGTTATCATCTTATAAGTGAAGAAAAGAAAAATATTAGACAAAGAACGATAAAAAGATATTAGAGAAGAACAGATGCTACACTTTGATCCCAACCTGATGACCACGGAGAAAAGGAAAGCGTAACTCAAGTAACAGTGACTACTTGTTCAATGAATGTGAAATGTTTCCTTATAAGGAAACGGTTAATATTGCAGTTACTATTCAATGACCAGAATAACGTTCGTCATCAAGAATTTTTTAATAGCTTGTTGGTCGAATTAAGAACTTTCTCAGCTTCCCTCATGGTTGTCATTTACGTATACTTTCTTAAGTATACGTAAATGACAACCAAACAGATTAACTAGTTATGATCAGCCAATTCTGATACTTCAGACAATGTTTGTGTTAGAGGACGACATTAAAAATATACCATCGCCTTTCAAGATGTAGGCGATCGTGGCCCTCTACAGCATTATTTTTTTTTTTTTTTTTTTAGGAATGCATCTTTCGGAGTTGCTTCTTTTTTTTTTTTTTTTTTTTTTAGAATTCAAAAGTTTCCTTCTCTTAAACTTTTTCCATTCAAAGCTAGAGAGGCCGGTCTACTCTGCTATTTAATCCATAGCTAGATACAGAAGATATGAGTTTATACATTTCCCAGGGGTAATATTACGAAAGTGAATGTAAGAGTAACAACCGATATTTGAACTCGGCTTCCACTTCTCACGCCGAGAGCCGACACATTCCACCAACAACAATATACAATAATAAATATATAAGGTTGGAGAAAGTTTTCCGTTAAACTTTTATCAATAACAAAACAAGCTTCATTCACTCTAGAAGACTAGACGAAAGATAATTTTAGAAAAGGATCGTATCAAGATATGACAATAGAGATGCAAATTTGTTTCTAAATGTGTGTCTAAATGGTATTCCAATTGATTTGTTTCGACCTGGAAATAGATTTCGATCATTTAGTCGCAACTTTTGTGTCTTCCTGAAGTTGTTTACTTAACAGACCAACAATTAACGATGAGTTCGGCATTCATGTATACGGGTTAGAAAATGTCCAGTTTTTTTTTTTTTGTTTTTTTTTTCGGCATTTCCCTTGTGGGGGGTGCATCGTGCATTTGCGATTAATCCTGGTCCTCTCCGGTACAACGGAGAAGGTAAAACCTACGTGGGTGGGGAACGACATTGCTTCATTTCCATTTTAGTTCAAAAGGAACCAAGAAACGATCAAAAGCAAAGATGTACTCAGCTTAGTTTGGCACAAGGCCATCAAGTGAAAATCAAACTTACAATTCCAGGTCAGTAATGATCAACCATACAACACTTGTTTCAAATAGATAAGGTTTTTGGACTTAAAGATGTGGCTGGAATTCGTAATTTTTTAATTATTTTTTTGTTTAATGATTTTCAGTAATAAAACGTTTTCTTGTAGAATACTCACAGACTAAATTAATTAACTGAAATAAAACTCATGAATATCTAATAATATCTAATAAAAGGGGTGGTTGAAATAAGAATATCTTGATTAATTTTTCTCCAAAAAAGGATCCGGCCCGTCTATTTGAATCTCAAATGTAGTTCTGTAACCATTACATCACATCACTTTAGGATGTGACGAGTCTCTCACTGTTTTATCGCTATTACCATGGAAAGTGCTCGGACGAGCTACATTCCTTGATTCCACCAGGTCTAACCTTCACGGCTAGGACCCACAATGACACTTACATAGTAGCAACCCCACCCACATTCCCTCCGTATTCAATTGGCGAGAAATAAGTTCCGCTCAAACGGATTCTTCCTGCGAACCACTGCCCTGTGGAACAGACTTCCAAGAGGATGTTTCCCCGATTACTACAATCTTAACCTGTTCAAGTCTACAGTTAACCGTTATCTTCCCCTCCTATTCATATAAACTACCCTTTAACGTAACCCTCTACCTCGAGTGACCCCGGGCCTTGTACAGGATGAATATTACTGAAAAACATTTTTTTTAAAGCTGAAAGCATCATTATCTGTCTATATTTCTGAGATGAGGTACTATGTACACTATTTACATTGCATAGAAATGAATACAATATGGGAACCAGTAATAAGGAGTGCCAGAGAAAAGCAATAACAACAAAAATTGCAGTATGAGCTCTGGTAAAAAAACATGCAATGATAACAGCAAAAACTGCAATATGAGCACTGGTAAAAACGGTTATTGATGACATTAGGTTTATAATACCCAAAAATTCATACACAGATGTCCAGTGATATGACTCAAAGTTGTGAGTTCAATACATGTTTAAGGCGGTGGAGAACTTGGAGAGGGGAATTAACAAGAGATAACTGACATCCATTAGACATGGCACATGGAACTAGAGCAGTCTACCCCAGCGAGCGAAATAAAGGGTTCAGTTCAACATTCTAACTACCTGATTAAGGCCGGGGCGTACAACGGCCGAAACGTTGTGATGAATATGGCAACAAAGATGAAGATGATAGCCGAGTAATGTAAATAGTGAAAGTGTCATATTGTGTTTTAATAATGACAATAAACGGAAGAAAAATTTGACTGTTGATTGAGTAACTGAACCTTGTTAGCAAGTTTACAATTCAAACAAACGAATAAAATTAAAAATTTTAATGTGCTCGTGGGGTCAATATTAGTAACCTTGTCGAGCAGACGATTACTACCATCGAATGAGCCTCGGTTGTTGATACCAATGTCTTTACTATTAAGCTATATACTAAAATTCCCTGACCCAATATAAATGAAAAGTGGGCGTGCACGCACAAAAGGGGCCTGTGGTGACCCCTGCAACTAACACTGTCATGATCTTTGCAGAGAATAAATCATTTTTATTATTTTAACAGATAACTAAGAAGTAGTAACATAGAATATTAAATTATCATTTTAAATATAGTTCAGTTGAATTTTATCTTGGCTCACGAGTAACTTTGATGTGTCAATCTGACTTTTACTGAATTATTAGTAGAATCAGAACGCTATGCGTACTGCCTAACTTTAGTTTTTCCCAAATTTTAATCTGCGAGGTTGAGATGAAAGGTTCATAGGCTGACTATGAAGGAGTGATGCTAGAGCTGTGAAATCTCACATGTATTAATTTCAATTCATCTTATTAATAACTGCATTGCTTCTTCGTGGTAAACTAACATCTGACTTTTCAAACACTTAGCGACATCTCTTTAAAATGGACAAAATTTGGCATGGTAGTGTTATCAAGTACTTACAGAAAAAGGGTTTAGTCCTCAAGAATAGTCATGCTGACATGGTTGCTACATTACGGAATGGCGCTCCAGCCTTATCAACAGTGCAAAAGTGGGCAGCCGAATTTAGGAGAGCAAGGGATTGTTTTGAATATGGCTTAAGGTCTGGACGTACAACTGCCATAATCGAGGAAAACATTGATCACCACATTGTGATGAATGACTACAAATCAAATAGCATATCCTACGACAGACTTAAGAAT